TGACGACATTACTTAAATTCATAGTTCTATAATTGCTCATAAATTTAATCAATAATTATAATAAATGCTAAAAAAATACTAGAACATAACATAATCAAATATTCATATAGTCTTTAATATTTTAAATATATCATTATTTCCTTAATAATGACCTGAAATTAGATAAATTGCCTACGGTATTTATCCTCCACTAATTATAACTGGACTTGGTTCAAATGATACAATCTATTTATTTTAATTCTAGTATGAAAAAAATCTTATAATTATTTAATCAAATTATACTTTTGAATAAGCATTCTCAGATTTTTTAGTAACCTATAATAGTATTATAATTTTAATATCACATAAAGTAATTAAATGCTAACATAAAATTATTTTATTTAAATTAATAGTCAATCAATTAATTTTTCAAAAATATTAAGTTTGATCCTATATAAATTTCTATGAATGTTTAATTATAATCATCTTTTTTATACATAAATAATATTAATGAAAGTTATCATAATATCAATTGATTAAAATAGTTTTCCGATACCAATAATAATTATTTATGTTCATTTCCAAATCAAGTTAATAAATTAGTAAGTGAATAATTAATATTTTCATATCTATATAATAATGGGAAGTATATTTGCTTTTAAGTTTGGAATGTGTAATAATTACCAAAATACTATTATGTAAAGAATCTTCCTAGTGTAAATTTTGATAATAACTTAAGAATATAATCTGATAACGCATTCTTCTATGTTACTTTTAGCAATTACACTGTTTATGTTTATAATCCTCCATTTGATATGAGTTTATATTATATGTTAGATTAAATTCACCAATACAAAGTAGCGAGTAATTTTAATTTATAAATTAAGGCTTTATTTTTTTAAATTCAATAATAATTTATATTTACTTCTTGATTAATATAATGTAAATCTAACTTTTTAACAGTGAAATTAAGCTTTTAATAATTCAATTAGTTACCCGTACTTTATTTAAAACGATAATGTAACTTCAGCATTACATAAAATAGCCTTTTACTATCAAGTATCAGATGATATAACTCCAGATTATATAATCCCTCAATCTAAAAATTTCATTTATCCAATGAATCTATTTTTTGATAGATAAGTCGGATAATGTTATTTAAAGAATATATAATAATCAAACAAATATTGCAGTCTAACTTAAGTTTCTAATTAATCAAATAGCATTCCTAATATTCATAATTACTCCTTAATTCCTTCATTAAATAACAAATATTTCGCTTTAAATAGTGATTTTAACTAATAAATTTAGTTTTAATTACTCATATCTAAATTTGAATGAATATGTAGAAACAGCCTCACAAAATTATTAATTATTTTCAGTTTGTACAAATAATACATCCTTATATTTACTTAACTTTACATTAAATTCCCAAGGCGAAATAATAAATCTAAATATTTCATAACTTCCTTAAATATATATAACTATTGCTTAATTGAGCATCATTTTAAACTAAATTTTTATTTTAGGTATTTTTTGAAAAACCATCTCCAAAATAATTGGACTTATATTGGCTTAACTAATCTAACAACACCTTCTAAAATATAACTAATAGGTGTACTGATTTCTCTATTGAATAAATGGAGCAAAAGACATTAGAAGATAATTAATCACAATAAATAATTATTTTCTATATTTATGAATCGTAATTAAATTATACAATTATGAGAATTGAAGATTAAAGAATTCAATTATAAAATTCTTTTAATGTTAAATTCAATTATTGCAATTAATTATCAATTTGCTAAATGGTTGAATCAAGAAAGATATGTAGATTCTGATCATTTAAATATAACATAACCATGTAATAATACTCATAACCAATAGAGTTGAATATTTTAAATAAAATTACTCATTAATTCTGGGAATAATCATTTAAGCTACATAATTATTTTTAAAATTATTAAATTTTCATTTTAAGGTGAAAATCGTCTAGAAGGCAGGATTATGAGAAGTATTCCAAATTATGGTTCTTCTTATAATAGAGTGAATTCTTTATATTATAACGGGGTTTTATTGCAACAATTTTACACATTTCCAAATAATTCTTATTTTAAAATTGGAGCTTATTATTTGAATAATCTTTTAGTTGAAAATTTATTAGAACTGATTTTGATGTA